TTGTTCTCGGGGGAATTACTTCGCGAAGGAATTACTTCCTAGTAGTACGATGGGACCGATGAATGTTTTACGAGAATGCTCGATGGTAAAGTAGCTTATGTGGTAGTTCGACGTTGTCGTCTACTATAAGATTGCGTAGATAGATACGCGCGTAGCGTGAACGTAATTGAACGTACGCCTGAAAGATCGGAGCGGGCCATGGCTGATCGTGCATCGTGTATCACGATCCAAGATATTAAAGTGATTCAATATTCGGACTGGAGTCAAAGGGTCACGCGTGTAGGAGGGACACGTCTCTCGCGCGCCTGACCATATATCACGAACTGCCGTTGGCGTACGTGGAATAATTCCACGAGAAATTGCACGCGTCATACGCGAGTAACGCCTTGGGCCTCAGGGGCTTTACCCGGCGGCTTTAAAAGTGAGACTTGGTGATAGAAAGGGCATAAATTAAGTGCGTTCGTATGTGTGTTTTATAGCGTACAGCGTCTCTCTCGTATGGTAGATGTGCATTTGGTTTTGATTGTAATGACGCGGCAAATTTCGGCATATTGCTAAAAATCAATAACACATGAATAATATACAATTAATGCTAAGTAAAAAATATAATTCTTAAGTTATTAATATTGCTAATTTCCTAAAATGAAGAAAGAAAAATTTAATAAATTGGATATATTTAATATATTTAAACGATGACTAAATAAAAAAAAATTGTGCGCGTGTGTGTGTGTGTGCGTGTGCGTGTGTGTGTGTGTGTGTGTGTGTGTGTGTGTGTGTGTGTGTGTGCGTGTGTGAGAGAGATCGCAAGAAATATACGAAATATAAGAAATTTAACATGTAAAAATCACGACTGAAATATTATATATACTTCAGAAAGAGAAATTGGAATATTAAGATTAAAAGAAATTATTGCAATGACATTTTAAATTCAATGACATCAAAATTCGACTTTTTTTCTTTTGAACTATTTGCTTGCTATAGGAATAATAGAAAAGATATAATGCATGAATCGTTTGCTTTCATCATAGACGAATTAATATCATGCTCTAAGTTATGTTGATGAGAGACGTAACATAGGCACATGTCGAATTTAAACGTTAGGAAGTAAAGGAAGAGAGAAGGGAACGATGACGACGAACGACGACGAGAAAAGAGGTCGTGGATGGAAGGAATTCGAAAACTTTCTCAGAGGTGGAAAGATCGTCGCCCTTCTCGCGCCACACTCCCGGCTCACGGGAGACAATCCGAAAGTAACTTCTGGTGCGGGCTACTGGCGCCATGAGAAACAATCGTCCATCGCGATCGTTGGGCGCAATCGTGAACGCGAGACAACTGTTTCTCCGGGCCCCATACCTATCTCTCAGTTAGACATTAGATTTATCGACATATTTTCTCAGTCTTTTGAGAGACTTTATTTACTTTTGTACAACGTCGTCTACCTCGCTTTCGTGCACCGCTGCTGTACGCGCGACTACCCGCCTTGTTTCGAACCGCACCGGACGCTGGTCGATCAGATCGGAGGGGGATAGCAGAAACGGAGGTTCAACCCGCCGGGAAACAGTGTTTGTATAAATTCTATTTTGAGCAGAAGAGAAGATACGCGCGTGACAATCGAGAATTGATAGAAATTGGATAAAGATCAAGGGAGCTTGAGAATATGTTATATTACGTGGAGCAAATTTGTCGGCATTTAAAAAGAGAACTTTAAATTATTGCTATTACTTATGTCGTAATTAGTAATTCGAAAAAGAATGTGAGTTTTCAAGCGAACAATCGCTGTACTATTATCTCGAATCTTGAGACTGCGAGTTTACTTTCGATTTTTGTACTTTTGGGCGAATAGAGCAAAAAGTTGTAAGTGTAACGCATTACGATCGAAAATAATAAATGTTCGAAGACTCGATATTTTTTTCAAATAACAGCATACAATACGCTTAGATAATGGAGTGCGATTAGTAAGTATATATCCAGATAGCAAAATGTCTGCAGTCTTCTAGCAGATTGTCAGCAGATTTGAGCAAAAAATGACGATAGTCTGCCATCAATTAGCATTCCGCATTAGGTTTGTGTTCTGTTAACATCGCCTGTCGATATAATGTGAAGACAAATTGTTGGCAGAAATTGAGCAGATTCTGTCGACATTATCTGATGTTTGTAGAATCTGTTACGTTCTTTCTAGCAGTCTGTTAACAGTATTATATATATCTAATTCTGTAACAATTCTGTTATTTTGTTGGCACAGTGTGTACAGACATTTAAAAAATCTGCTTTCAGACTTGGCTATCTGGGTGTGTATATATATATGTATGTTAATAAATTACACTTATCCAAACGTTTTTCGATTTCTTTCCGAATCATCCGTGAGGAATAAATATAATTTTATTAACATAATTAACGATTTAATTAGATGATCATTTAATAAGCGGTAAGTTGAAATAATAACTTTTGTTAGGGATATTGACAGAAATTTCTATTATCGTAACTGATACAGGGTTACTGCGAACGAAGATCGCATGATCTAACTATCGCGTGATTGTACGAAATGATCTTTTGGGTGCGTTTCGACAGAACTTTTCAAATAATTCGTGAAAACTCACAGAAGGACAAACAAGTCCATAAAGACTTCGCGTCATTTCGCTGTTTCTTCTTCCTCACGTCTAGTTTCCCCTTTCAGTCGCTTTACATTTCTTTGAAGTGCGATCTATCAGAAACACAGATCACAAATCAGATAATTCATATGCTTATCTGATCCATATCTGATTTGTATGCGCATCAACAATAAGTTGCAGAATGAAATAATCGTCAGAAAGAAAGTAACGAATCAAAAGGAAATAATAATGATTTAGTATGCAAAACTATTTCTTATTTTCATTAAGAAAAATATAATTTTTTATTTGTTACATCATATATTGTTATCATCATATATTGTGTACGCGTAATAAAAAAGTTACTTTAATAAAGTGATTAAATTTCATAGTGTATTAGAATGAATATAATACCCACAGCGTATCATAATTTTTATATTAATGCATAATACTTTTTACTTTTTAGTTCTCGATATTGAATAAATAGAAAGGGAATAAGAAAAGTGTTGAAATCTAAACCAACTTTTCGTTTTCAGAGAACAGAGTTTATAATTTCGCAGAATGAATTCTATGAATCCCTTTTAATTCATCTATTTTTTTTGCAAACATTGAACGCTATAATTCACTGGCGAAGGGATCGACAGCGAGCTCCCTCTCGTCCGACGTGGCAATTAGTCCCGATTAATTCCTCAAAAATGAGAAGGAACGCGCGCGTGCTCTGCGGTAGGTATAGATCTTTTAGGGTAGGCACTTCGAAGTCGAATAGAAGGCTAAAGGCTAACCACACACGTGGTTTGAGTTATCTAGCCTCTTTCTCTCTCTCTCTCTCTCTCTCTCTCTCTCTGTATCTCCTCTCTATTCCGTATGTCCTCTATTCCGTGTATCCTCCGGCCTATGTATTACGCGTATGTATATTGTATACGCATCTCGTTGGCACGCCAATACGATACGTGGCAGTGCACTTTAATGCCGCGGCGCGGCCTACTTAGCGGCCGGCTTGATTAACATGGAGTGATTAATAGTTGCTCCCTCCGTTCGTAACCAACCCCAACAACGGCGGCATCGGAGATCTAATCGCACGATATTTATTGCCCTGCGCGTCGTCCACCTCGGGGCCCTCGCCTTGGCCACGGCGATTTTGCGAGTCCGCTCCCTCTTCCCTTTTAACCCCCTTTCACGTTCTCCTCCTTTTCGATTTCGTTTATTTTGATTTTTATTTTCGTCTCACATCGACTCACTTGGAGCCGGTCCGCGGACTCCTCGCCTTCCTGAATTTCAGCCTCCCAACATCGCCTGAATTCCTTTCGGTTCCCGTTTCAGCTCAAGTTATTTAACAGTGGTTTAATGATATTTATTAATTTACGCGGCATACGGCGGAAGTATAATAATATTAATTAAAAATAAGCAGTAAGATATAAGTTAATTATGTCTCACTCTGTTTTAAAAATTAACTTTTCTCGTTTGTGATGAATATGATAAATATATCTGTATGTATATCGTATATTCGAATTCTAATTCCATTTGAATAAAAAGAATCTGTCTATGTTTTCGATAAATTCGAGATGATACGCTGTTGGGTTTTGCGCGAGAGACATATCTATCTCGTTTGTTCCCCCTTTACATGTTGCGTCAGCGTTACGTTGGCGCCGCATTCGTCTATCCAATCTGTAGCCGTGTTTACAATCCCAGCTTCGACGGCTTGCAATTGTTCTGACCAGGGATGACTTTGTAAATAGATATGGACATTTTACTCCTTTAAGCATCGATTCTACAAAAGCGATTATTATATCGGGCATCGATATTAGAGATGATAATTATCTTTGAAAAACACATTGGATATGAAAATTATAAATATGATTATTTTTGTAAGATTCCATTTGGAGACATGTCATAGATATGATCGTTGATATAATTTAAGGTACTGTTTCAAGATACATTTACAAATGTAATATATATTTTTCTCTTTATTGCAATAATAAAAAAAGGGTTTGCTTAATTTTTGTGCTCAATTTTACATACAGCGTATAATTTGCGTGAAGGAAACGTGATTATTATTAAAAAAAATATACATCGAATAATCACGAGAGTCACAGTGTCGCGTGTCATGTTTCTTATTATCGCAGGAAATGTACAAATGTTCGATAAGGAAATGCATTGAGAGCAAAGTGCACGTAACAATTATATAATACGTAATTAAGATACTAATACATTTGTTTGTGTGTAAAATCGATCCATGAAATTTACACGTGATTAATGAAATATTCGTCAATGATAACAGCCTGATAATGACAATGTCGCGGTCACGCGCGGAGTTCGGTGTCGATAAACAGAGTCGTCGTACATCAATGCGCCCGGCTTCCCACTCGGCGGAGACTATTTATATGCCCGTCCCACGGACAACGAGTCGATAATTAAGATGCTGTGTGTAATTAGCGATTAACGCGCGTTATTAACAGTGCAAACAGTCCGCCGTCGGCGAGTCGGCGCGCCATATGGGGGACTTAGCAAGCCGCAGTAATGGGCGGATACCGCGGTACAGATATCGCCGATACGTTTTGCCGCATACGAAACGTGCATTTTCATTCTACACGGGTCACCGTGCTCGGATTTCGCCGCTTACGAAGCACTAACATTCGGATATACGTAGGATACACGCATAGAAACTTACGCACGAAGTGCGTCGTTCGCGGTAATTAAATCCTCCAGGAATCCGGCGTGATTTTATCAGTGGCGCGTGGTAGGCAGAATATTTTTACGACGCACCGTTTCTGAAGAGGATTTTCCATTTGGTAAGTATCCGCTTTGTTTGTTATATTCAACTTTAAAGCATATTGCTATGTATTTGAAACAATGGACGATTAAATGCAATAACTTCGTACGTTGAATCTTGAAAACCCTCACAGAAATTTGATACTGAAAGGTAATGATTATACAATTACGTATTTTGAATATTGAAAACATTGAACGATATTTTTAAGGATTTTAGGGACGCACCGAATATCCGGAAAGTATCCATTATTTGGTATTATCCGGCACTTTTTTACTATCCGACCGGATAGTCGGATATCACTATTATCCGTGGAGGTATCTGGTTGAAATTTGATATCATTAAATTGTTGATGTTTTTCTTATACGTTAAATGTTCTAGAAATATGTATGCATATTCATAATGCCATAATATCTTATACATTGTTGTAAAATTACAATCTTTTTCCTTATAGGCCTTTTTTTAGAAGATACTTTCTCGGAATCCGGTCGGATATCCGGAAAATGTCGGATATCCTTCCCCTCGATGAAATTGCCTTCTCGGATATCCGATGTTATATTCTGCCCGGATATCCGATACTTGGTATCCGGTAATTTTGCATCCCTATTTTTAATACTCAAATGTATAGTTAATCACTATCTTTCAAAACGTTAAATTTTTATGAAGAAAGTACTTCAATAAACTCCTCCTTTGTATACATTGGCCCATAATTTAAAGCATAAAAGTGCATACTTATCGTTCTGAATAAGGGCATTGAAAATGTTATCACAAAGCGAGAAAATATATCCATTTAGAATGTTATTACCAATTTTAAGGCATTAATTTTAAACGGTAATCAAACTGCGATGACTTCAGCAACAGTAGTAGTATATAATACAGTAATAATTGTGACACAGTTATCATTTCCAATTTGAGATACCGTTATCCAAGCGAGAACATGAAGCTAACGTAGTGTTATATTCGTGTAAACGAACTTCTATTCATAAACCTCGATAATAAATATTCGTCTGTCTACCTTAGTAAGGACGATCGAAGGTGCGTGTCTCGCGTGCCGTAAATACGAGAAAGCGATAGTCGCAATTGTGATCGGGAGAAGCGACATTGTCTCCGATGGTCCCGATACCCGCCTCCCACGACATTGTTGGACGGCCTTATTATCCCTGAGCTCTTTGATCGATATGGACAGATATCGATAACGGTGCGATGTTTATCGTGCGGGTAGGCTCGGATAAACGCGTACGGTGTAGCATTACACAAAGAACGTGATGCATGGCCGATGGTAGTATCGGTGTGTGAAAGGAGGGAGAGAGAGAGAGAAAGGACGAGGAGAACATCTTGTCTTTTGTGATCGTAGGTGTTGCCTCAAAAGAGCTACGAAGAAAACTCCTCGCATTTGTGCATCTTTACGTAATTACAATTGTACGTACGATATTCGGAAATCCGTTTGTGAAAGATCAATCAGAGCATGATCTTTGTGAATTTATTCATTATATAATTACACTGTTTGAAATGTAACCACGAACTTCCTTTACATGTAATGAATGATTTAACTGAAAATTAAGTTACAGTAGTTATTTAAATGTAATGAACGTGTACATTAAATTTCATAAATTTTTATGAAAAATACATTAAATTTTATGTACGTGTACACAAATATACTTTTTAGTTATAAATACAATAAAGTTCAAATTGTATAAAAGTTAATGAAATTTAAGAACATTTCTAACGGTGTAGAAAATTTGTGTGTTAAATTTAACACATTTCACGTATTTTAGCAGTCCATTCAAATTTTTGTGTTAATTTCATACAAGATGATATGTTAGAAAGTAATACAATTTTTATTTATAAAAAAATCAACATAAAAAATATATTACTGACACAATTTATATAAGCAAACTGTGGAAACTTTTTTTTCAGCAAAATTAATTTATGATGTATCAAATTAACATGTATTTTATTCATTTATCTGAGAATTTCTTTTTAAAATGCATTATTTTTATGTTATTTGTTTACTTACTTATAAATTGTGTTATTTTGACACTAAAAAAATGTTAAATATTATCCTAAGGCAATATTCAAATAACATAATTGTATTAAATTAACTCGTGCATATGTTAAAAATTCAACACAAAATTTTAACAACTTGAGTGAATCAGTTTATCACATATACAAAATGTTTTACTACATGTACGATAAAATTTTCAACTTACTTATTAAAAAATAAATTAAGAACTTTTTATCAGTTAATGCAAATTATGTGTATGTGTGACTGTAAGAATTTTTTAATTTGGTACCATTCAATATATTAACATTCGTGTTCACAAATCCGCGAAACCAAATGTTGCAGCAGACATCATAAATTGATGTCCGCCACGCCATGCTCAACAGATCCTTTAACACACGTCGTCGCAGGACGCCATAGCTTGTACCAATCGATTTTTGCTTAACGCTTAAAAGTCACGATTCAATAAAGATTGCTTCGAGTAATCTTTATATTCATTAATCTTGATATTCAAGTTTTTACGGTAGAATGAATCAGAAGCATTAATCGCTTCACTAATTTTGTATTTTATTTTCGCAAATAATATAAAAACGTGAATTTTAATTTTTTTAAAATAAAATAACTGCATTTAAGGATCATGGCACACAAAAGACTCAAGTAAAACGTATTGCGTATATACAGTAAGCGAATTGGGCAGTTAAGTAGAGATCGCAAGGTCATAACGTAAGCAGTAGCAAATCCACCATGTTGATTTCCTTATTGCTTAGGTTATTTTTATGTGCCATGCCTCTGAGGCATATAAAAAAGCTTAAGCAGAAATAATGAAAGGAGATAGCACGGAGTGTGAATGGGACGTGTCGCAGATTTCACACCCCTGATATGCGTCTCGATATCAGATCTGTCGAAACGAGCAGGAACCGGCCGAGCTCGTAATTGGAATGAATTCTTTTCGAAAAGAGTAGCGGCCGATGGCAACGAGATACGATCGTGCCACGCCGCGCACACGCGTAGAACGCCGCATTAACGGCCGGAACTGTTATCGACGTCTCTATTAGGGAGCTCTCTGTCGACGAAGGAGACCCTTCTACCACCCCAACCAACACTGTCGGTTCCGTTTCCGAATTTAATATCTTGCATCATCAATATATATACGGAATTCGTCGCGCCAGCTTCGATCCGATAATCGATACGCGTATATCTGGAGGCGGCGACTGAAACGAATGACGGATTCGTATCCGTTGTGAAATGCGGAGGTGTCTGCTGAAAGTAGTCATGTAAGAATCTTGGAGATCACTCATTTTATTGAAAATTGTTAGAATTTATGAATGCTGTTGGATATAATGGCACAGCGACGTTGATTTTAGTAGTTTCTATATTTACTTTAGAATTAACACAAAATTTTCCAACTATATATAGGACTCTCAATCATGATGAGTAATGATATAAAAAGTTTTAACATTCTAGTAACCAGAATATTCTATTGCAATTATTTTGATGGTCCAACAAAATTATTTTCAGATCTGTATATGACTGAATTTTTAGATATTTTAGCAAAAGCTTTCTTTTTTCGTATATTAACTTACACTGTTAGAAATGTAACCACGAGCTTCCTTTGCTGTTAGAAATGTTCTTAAATTTCATTAAATTTTAAGTTACACAATTTGATGACAACTTAATTTCATGACATTACATTAAATTTAATGCATTTATAATTAAAAAGTATACTTGTGTATATATACATAAAATTTAATGTATTTTTCATGAAAATTTATGAAATTTTCTTTGTACTTTTCATAAAATTTTATTAAAACTGTAGAGTAATCACGAGCTTCCTTTACATGTAAATGAAGCTCGTGGTTATGAACGAAATTAAAAGTAATGAATGATTTAACTGAAAATTAAGTTACAGTAGTTACTTAAATATAATGTACGTGTATATTAAATTTATGAAATTTAATGTAAGTTTCATAAAATTTTGTGAAAAGTACATTAAAATTCATAAATTTTCATGAAAAATGCATTAAATTTCATACGTACATGTACCTACACATTATGTATTGTACTTTTCAGTTACAAATACATTAAATTTAATGTAATGTCATGAAATTCAAATTGTGTAAATACTTAAAAGTATATTAAATTTCATGAAATTTTTAACAGTGTACATAACATGCTTACGAGTCCATACTGTTTTATGCTAGCTATTGTTATTTTATGTTATAGCCTAATTTTTATGGAATGCAATATGTAATATGTTAATAGATGATAATAACCGATCCCGATCGGTGACAGGAGCGGCGAACCAAAGATTAGCGGACAGCTCCCATTCGAGGAAAGAGAAACGAAGTGGCAGGCGAGAGAGGATAATAACGTAGGTAGCCTGCGGCACCGAATGATTAATAAATCAGGTATGCCGTTGAGAGAACAGTTTAACCTGCGACCTCGGCGCGATGCATCGCGCTCCTTTTCATTTTTCCTCGTCCCCATCCTATTTGCATCGCACCGATGCATCGGTGCGGCTTGCTCTCACGCGGCGCGTGAATCCTTTTCGCGACGGCCTAAACGGACTCCTCGTTGTCGGACGGCGCTTCTTTCCGCTCGCTCACAGCGATACAGATACGTGTGGCTAATAGCCCGTTCCCACAGGCCTTAACTCTGAATGTTAATTGTTGCTTAAATTTATGAGAATCTGTCCTCCTCCCCGCTCCTTCTTCAACCCGATCTTCTCCTTGTCGGGCGGCTCTTCTCTCCGTTCTACCCTGCTCTAACCGAATAACCATAGCTATTTATCGCTAACGATGAAACCACGAAACAAGCCCGTTGATTAGCGATATGGGAATATTGGTACGAGGTAGTCATGCGAGTTACTCATTCGTGATAAAGGCAACAGGAATTAATGCCACGGGAATACCACGTTGTCATCACGGAACTTTGAACTTGTGGCGCACAGGAATTTGAGATAATAATATCGAGAATATGATTGTACAATGATGTTTACGACATTTAATTATATGGCAGTAAGATTGAAACCGATAACACCGTATTCCGCTTATTAAGCGAAACATTTGAAATATTATATTTGGTGAATCCGGCTTGTGTATTTAATGGTCAATATATTTTTTTATAGTTTGTCGAAGAATTGAAACTATATTAATGAAGAAATTGTACACTTAATTTCTACAAAAAGTAATTTGATTGGAAATTTATACCATGTAAAAAATGAATTTCATACATATGAAACAGTACAGTAATGTCAATATTTATATTTAATAATTTTATAATTAAAATGAAAATTTTCTTGTTTTATTTTAATTATTTTTTAAAAATGTTTACTGAAACAAATTTTTTTCTAAATCGCCAACTTTTCGTATTTACTTCCAAATACAATATAAAAAAATTTTTAAATAATTTTTTCATTTTGTTAAAAATACATGCAATATAAAAGTTGCATATAATTGAGAGTATAACGTAGAAAGAAAAAAAATGAAGTTGCGCATATTCTAAAGTCATTTCACACAATTCAGAATTAAAGACTCCACTAAAAAATTGCTAATTTTGAAATGTGTCACTTTTCAACGCATTTCTATCGACAATATAGAGAATTCTCTCTCATATACATATTAAACTTGCTGCATTGCGAAATACTATCTAGTTTATCATTCGTCTTTTTTAAAGGTCACTCGTCGATTGAAATGTTATGCGTTTATTTGTTACAGAAAATGTCGCGTATGTGTTGACCGTACAGTAGGTCAGATTTCTCATTTAGGAATGTCGTGGGAGTTTGTATTACATTTCGCGTAAGCTTCCGCGGATTCGCGCAATGCCACTGAAATATTTGTGAAGTGCTTTGAATTTCTGGAATATATATCGTTAAACCCATGATATTTCTCTATGAAACTATCGCCATTCGTTATATGAAACATAACGTGTATGATATTTTACTGAACAAACTAGTAGAATTTATAACGCTGGTCGATTTTCTGCGGATCATTGGTTTATTATTTCCGTGGTAAGGAAAGTTGAGAAAAAAATTAGGCTACTAGAATATTAAAGTCATAAAAATTTAATGATATCAAGCAATACATTGCGGATTTATTTTCTTTTCAGTATATATGTTAATAATATTTCAATTTTATCGAACTATAACGAGATGTTCGTAAAATCTAATAGAAAATGATCATTATTATTACTAATTTTAAAATATCATTATACATAAATTATTATTGAAGAACATTTCTTCCTAAAAAATATAATTCTTTTCAGATCTTTGACAAATTTTTTTCGGCGAACGCTCAAAGTAATCCGGATATCCGGATAAAGTAGAACTTCTTTCGAATTCTTCTCCGTGTGTCTCGGTCACAGCCGGGCGTCGACTTTCGAGGACAAGGAAGAAAATGGTAAGGGAGAAACACACGTAAGATTCAGCAGAACAGAGGAGCGCGTTAGTCGCGTGATACGTAGATCGAGTGACTCAGAGATTCCTGGAGCCGGACTGACAAGCGAAATGGGTCAGGCACGGTGCACTTAATAAAGGTGAGATAGCACCGGGCCCATGATTACCATATGAATTGGTAGGCATCGTCCGAAAAGAAACACTGTCGTGCTATCGTTGCGTAGTTGCAAAGGCACGCTCGCGCACGCCTATTGTGTGTGGTCTCGGTCGTGTGTGTGCGCCTGTCATCAGCTGTCAGCGGCAGCTAGCTTGACGAGCTATCGCTCACCTTACTGTCAACGGGTTTCCACACATAGGCAGACACACGTGTGTGATGACCGCGTACGCCAGCGCACGTTCACGCGCGTGCGTTGCGCACGTTCCACGCAACCGGTTTCACGGCCGCGCCGCGACATCATCCTACAAAGACTCTCCGTCTTGCCGACTCTTTATCGTTTTCCGCTAATTTGATTCCGGACTTGATCCTTTGGAGGATAGGCAAATTAGGTGGCTAGGAATTAAGAGATCCAACGGATCGATATCTTAATCGGTAAGAAAGTAGCCGTCGTGAGAGTAACACATATCTTTTGTTTAATTATTTTGATATTTTTCTTTAGCTTATAACATTATTTTTATACTTTTATATATTTTTTAAATTAAATAGAAAATTATTTTTTTCTGGCATTTCTATTGAATCACAAGTATCGAGATAGTACAAGTAATGTCTAACTTTCACATTCCTGAAAGTTTTCAAAGGAGTTTACGCATTTTACTTTGGAGAGCACGCAGAATTGTTGGATTTATCACTTTTTTTTAACTTAGTTTCACTTATTGGTTCCTAAAATCAGAAAAAAAAAATCTTATTATTAGTATTCAGGAGATAAAATTTTAGGACATATTTTAACAGAAGAAAGCAATGTTCGATTTTATTATTTTTTGAACCATGTCTACGAAAATTTCTTTGTTTTTATAAAAATCTTTTTTTTTTATTACAATCAATTAAAATTGTGCACTATACAATCAATTAAACTTTTGCACTATAGAATAAATAAGATTTTGTAATGAATATTATTATTATGTACTTTGTGTAGAGTGTTTAGTTTGAAGCGAAGTACTAGATCTCTGTTCTTTTTAGCTGAATTTTTTGCATAGTCCACTTTATTCTTTTTCTTTCCACATGGAAAAAAAAGAGAAAATGGAGAGATGAATCATGCAAGGAATTCAGGTAAAAAAAAAACAAGTATTCATAAACGTTCTACAAAATAATAACTTCTAGGACAAAATCTTATTTATTTTATAGTGTAAATGTATGAGTCACTTTAATAATAAGTAGTTTTAATTAAAAAAAAGTTTTATTAAAACAAAAAAATTATCGTAGACGGGCTCGACAAAATAATAAAATCAACCGTTGCTTTCTTTTATTAAAATGATTTCCGGATTTAGCAAGTACAACTCAGTAAAAAAAATATATATATATAAATCTAACTATTCCTCCTCTCCAAATCGCCTAAAATGCGTAAACTCCTTTTCCACAATAAAGAATTATATTGCACCGAATCGTATTCGAAATAATACATGTATCTTTGGAGCCGATCCAGCGTGCGAGCTCATTTTTCTGTAGTTATGATATCGTCCATTTTAAGTAAAGCGATTGCTACGTGGCTTGCTTTTTTTGTGTAGTCAAGCTTAAGAAAGCTAAAACGAAGAATTACCTTGACATCAATCACGCGTCGCCAAAAGGGGAAAAACGTTATCAAATCACGACGCGTTAATTTAATTATCCGCTTCGATAGCGATGCTAATTGTATCTCTCAGTATTCGCCCGTTAATGTTCGTTCCGAAAACAGAACTGCGTTAAATTGTCCACGTTTAACAATCCCAACGAGGCAAATAAAGAAATACCGGCTATAAATATTCGGTGGCGTATGTGCATATCGTCGCGCAGCGAAAGGGTTAAAGTCGCTGCAACCGTTTGCAAGGTGAGTGAGATCGTAATTTGACACGGACTTGCATACAGCGATACGTTCGTTGATGATCATTTAACTAACGATGTAGTGGTATAAGATGTGGATACTGATTTCCTGGATGAGCTTGCTCTTGTCTCTTCAACGTACCGAATGTCCTCGAAACGTTTCGAATAAGACGGTTAATAATGCCATTATTAACGTCAAGGAATTTTACGACGCATTAATTTGCGCCATCCCATCTCTGTTTCTTTTTCTCGTGCCGAAATACCGACATTTAATTGGAAAAAAAATCGTGTCAATATGTGGTATCGAAGCAAATCGTTGTGCTATAAACAAATAACAAAATTCTGTGCGCATCTCAAAGAACGGAGAACCGGTCTTTTAGAGAAAATTCCATCTGTCGGCTCTTGACGCTCGCAAAATCTGTATCTCCCTCATCTTTAATATATTGCTCAGTTTCGAAGTAAATCTATGTTTTTGCTTCTGGCGATTACGGTATTTATAGACGTAAGAATTGCAAATAAATTGCCGGAGGATTCCATTTCGCTTCGAATGATGCAGATGAATAAGACGGTGCACACCCTCTCATATGTGTCAAGAGGGATGTAAGTCAGCTGAATAGAAGTTGGCTTGGATAGAACAATAGAGTTTATAGCTGCGAAACGAAGATACGCCCTCCTTGTTAGTTGCGATTTGAATCTTTGTGGACATTTTTTCTGAGTACGCATTACGGATGAAATTGAATAATGTTATATCAAAATGTAAAATAAATTACTTTTTTAAATGTTAAATACAATTGAAAGTATTGAAAATAAATATTTTATCTATATGTGAACTATGAGTTTTGAAATATAGCACAATTGCATAATATAAAATATTATAATTTTTCATTAGATAAACTCTAATATTTTAAATGTTCATTTTCATAAGTGATATAGTTTATATATTTATTGTTAAAATTCAATAATTTTTCTTAAATCCTTATTTTATATTTTTCTTATATCCATATTTTCTTAAATTCTTATGTACAAGAATCTATTAGAATTTAATAACCGAGAATTTTTAATCTGTTCGAAAGTTGTGTGTCAGTAAATTGTCGTGCGATATATTTGAATCCAAATGCATTTTATGTTTAAAAAATTATTGAACACTTTTACTATTAAAGAATAAAATTTTTTGTTTTTTGAAATTATTTGTGGAATTAATATGTATGTTCATTATTATTTTTTTAAATATTTTATGAAATAATTATTTAAATTATTACAGAAATCCAAGTGAAAATATAAAAGTCTAATACTTATATAAATGATTCAAATAGTAATCTCCAAGTAAAAATTTTAATCATATGTATAATAAAAATAATAAATCGTACTTATCTTACTTGTTTCACTGTCGCGCAATGCCTTCCTGTTCCTCTTTTGTTGCTTCTTCGTGGCATTTATAAAACATATTTGTGAAAATATTGTTAATTATAACTGTCCGTATTAATAGAACAGAATTATGTGGCATTTCTTAATCGTACAACATGCATTTTATTAATTATATAAATTATTATATTATATTTATAATATACTATAATATACTATAATATTATAATAGGTATATTATATTACATATTTTATTGAAATGATATTTCATAATTGTTCATAAGAATCGCGATTGGAATCTATTAGTACTTTTATCACGGTATATTTCGAGAAATAATGTGATGAGCCACGAAGTGATAAAATATGATAATACGGTACTCTTGACTTTAATCATATATGTATATGTGTATTTTATTATAGATATATTGAAAATTGATAATTCATAATTGTTCGTAAAGAATAATCGCTATTGCAGTTTATTAGTATTTGTCACGTTTCGAGAAATTATATATGACATGCGATGAAACGGCGGCCCGCCTTCGCTGCCAGTATGGCTCTCACCTTGAGAATGATAATAGTTCACTTGTAACGCACGCTGTGTGCGACGCTTGTTTTGACTTTTGTAACGTATATCCCGTCGCGTCGTGCGTCGCGTCGTTGCTGTACACGCAATTTGTTATCATTTCCAAGACGAAAATCTAACCGACAATAGTGGTAGCTGGTTCTTCGTGCAAGCATTTAGTGCTTCCCGAAACGTGGTCTCTTTCTCTCTTTCTCTCGTTCTCGCGACAGATAAAGAATTTAAATGCGAAAGAATTTCATTATTCCTTACGGATAATTACAAGAGAATTACAGATAACTATAAATAATTTACACATAAGTACAAATAATTATCAACTCGTGACTAATTCTCTTCTATAATTAACGATTCGAAAGAGACGATTCCTATTAAAACGACGTTTATTGTAGTAAATATTTTGTACGATTTATTTGAAATAAAAATCTCTTCTAAAGTAAAGATCAAAGGATTAGCTTAGGAATTAAAGATTATTATAAATTGCTATTTCATTCGAATATACATATATTACAATAATTCTTTTCTTGTTAAATATTCAAATATGTAATTTTACCTTTAAAAATCAAGATAAAATATATTAAAGTTACTCGTGATTTACTTATGTATAATACATTTATGCCACCAATTAAATTAAAATTAAAATTAATTTTTATCTCCGTTTAACTTCCTCTTTTTTGTCAAGAAACTTTAATTCTTAGAACTAAAAAAGATAAAGAATATGTTGAATTAAGATTAAAGTTAATCTACATTGATGAGAACAGGCATTATTATTTGATTTGATGAGTGGCAAGGAATACGCGCGATTATTTTAATTCGGTGACTCGCGGCGTATGTCGCCATTTCTAATGCATATGTGGTTTATTATCGTAGAAATCAAGCGGACAGGGAGATGGGTCACAGGTAACGATATGGGTCGCTTCGTGCTTCGTTGTATTATTTCTCGAAATGTGACTAATAAGTTCTAATAGCTTTCTTCCCCAATCGTGATTCTTCTCTATGAACAATTACAGATTATCAGGCGATATTATAAAATGCGTATCGTATATGATTAAAGTCGGAAAAAGCCGTACAGTCTAACAATACGGAAAATGTCGTCAGTGAATGGGGATGTGTGTGTGTGTGTGTGTGTGTGTGGTGTGGTGTGTGTGTGTGTGTGTGTGTGTGTGACCAAGTGAAGAAGTAACAAGGGAGGGAAAGGAGATCGAGAGGAATCAGGGCAACGGTGGAACAACTGTGAAGTATTTGCGCGATATATTATTTTTATTATATGATTAAAATTTGAATACTTGAAGATACTACAATACTAGAAATTATTTAAGCATTAAACTGTATGTTTTTATATGAACCTATAGTTTGTAGTTTGGGGAAACGCAAATAGATTTTTTTGGCGACGCAAATGTGAAATTTGAGATTATTACAGGAATTTAGGTTATGCCGCAGTCCGTGTAGTTAAATATATAAGACTATATTTTTTTTGTATGCGTGCCTCTATTATTCATTACTTGATGTAAATGTTGCAACGGTTCGTTTCTCAGTAAATGAGTCAGCTGATATCGATCTGTTGAAAAATCGGTTTTTTTGCGTCCAAGGTGTGATTTACTTGATGTTCATGAGTATTATTTATCTTTATTTAACATTTGATAAACAAGAAAGATTTCTATGTAGAGCATTAATTAAACGCATATACCTCGAAAAAAAATGTAAAATAATGAATTCTTTAGAAAATCGATTCAAGATTACTCATCCTGAGTTAAACATCGCAGCCCAGGCCAGATTGAAAAGCCTCGTCCAGATCCAATCGCGTATCTGTGGTTTATATAATTATTTCAATAAATATATATTTATTCGAAGAAAAATACAAAACTTTAAATTTCACGCAATAATTATATCAATTCTTTGAAATATGAATTATTTTAGGAACGCTACTCTATAATCCAAATTTTTATTTTACAGATCAACGTAATTTCAGCATAGTCTACAACTCCGCTGTTGCACATCGTATCGATGAGTGATAAATCAATTTTTATATTCAGTATTTTAAAATGGATAGGCTAGAACAGATTAGTGACATGCAATTTTAGAATATACATATACAGTCATGTTATATTTCATTGTACGATAAAGTACAAAAATTGTCTTAAATTAAATCACCAATTCGTGAGCGTAAATAAAAAATTGATAAAAAATTTAAAGTGTAAAAACTATTTATAAAGATAAAAACTATTATAAAGCTTTTATTTAATTTTATTGATATTATCTCTTGTAGATGATTAATATTGGAAGATATTTATAAATTGATATTTATAAAACAAAAGAAAAAATTGTTGATATTTAGGTGTTTATATTATATTTTAATTTTCTTCCTTTTTCATTTCTTTTAATAAAATTTTAGAACCGTGTCTGGCCTTTCTACAAAATTGACAATTCGGTGCAAGAAAATTATTTAAAAAAATTTTTTTAATAAGCAATTTAGGAACATAAATAAAAAGACAAAATCTTTTATATGTAGTTACATGGCATATGTAGTTATATGTATATTCCAATAAACTTGTAGAATAAAAAACTTGTTAATGATCTATTATCTAATTCTATTATCTAATTTTATCTCACTTGAAATAAAGTGACAATTTATTTACGGATTAAACTCTCGCCTGTTCATTAGCGCACTTTACAGAAAAAAAATTCTATTTAAAGAATTCTATTTATACCACTGACTCTTCAATCTTTTTCCGTCGTATGCGTCAAAGATACATCTAAGTCATAACATAATCGTTGACGTATTTGATACGTCACAGACGGAGCATCGACGTGAATTCAAATAGTGAGATTTTTGTTATGTACGTGCGTACGGCCGCAGGCAGACGTCGGTCTGCGCCAAAAATAACGCTCATTGATTTAGCGTACTGAATGAACGAGCTCACTACGTAGAATGAGACAGCTTGTTGAGAAAAGAGTACCGTTATGTATGGTCATCGAAGAGAATGGCAATATCCAGAAATATGGAAGATCCTTTTTCTTCGGATACGTTCTAATGTATATATACATACACACACACATATATATATATATATATATATATATATAGTGTTATGGAATGGATGGCGAATATAGGATCGTGCATCGCGTTATACCGCCTACGTACCGCGATAATATCACCCTCGACTCTCGTATCCGATTTTGATCATAAATAATCTGAATATTCCGCTAAACCGCAACGACCGATAGAGCTTTTGCTTTATCATCCATTCGCTTATACGTGAGATAGCTTTAATCGACAATAGATTCTGCACTCGACCAGATTTCTTCTGTATCGTCATTTGCTTGAAAGATTTTCATGCAATGTCCCAATCGTAAATTTATGAATAGGATCGCGATTTATTTTTTTGTGTTTTTTTTTTTTCGTGTTGTGTTGACGCTGCTGTCTCGAGATTTGACAGTTGTTGCACATAGCGATGACAGATTGCATTCTCCTTTTATTGCTCATTTGCACATAAAGAGTCTTTCATCTCTGTAATTCGCGATGAATGACTCCGACATTGACGTTCGTTTCGACTAGATAGTGAGTTTGCGATATCTAGCGTTGAGTGCAAAGTTGAAGCATTTTCCGGCTATTGTTTGCTTTTCTGCCTCAATCGTTCATTTGTAAAGCTCGCACTTGACATTCCATCTGGAATACAAGGGTTAGAAATGCCGTGGCGTAATCGCCTTGAAAATGACGCCGTTGGTTGCATTGCCGCCGCGTCACGTTATACAGGATTTTTCAAACATCACTTTACATATCACTATTTTTTCATGAAATAAAAACGGTATCATCTATCTGAATTTCTATCATCTATCGAATTGGAGGAAAAAGAGTTAAATATAATTTAATAGGTTCTCATAGAAAATGCGATTGATCTTTAAGATGCAAGAAATAAAAATTATATGAATTCTAATTATTTTTAATTACTATAGCAGACTATACAATTATTATTAATAATAATTATTAGCAATTGTATAGTCTACTACAATAATTAAAAATAATTAAAATTTATTTGATTTTTTTTTGTATACAGCATCTTACATGATCAATTGCACTTTCTATAGAAAATTATTATTAGGTGTTGGAATTAATTCGTAGCGTTTTTTAATGAAAGAATGTTATTTATTTCACATGAGCATTAAAAAATACATTAATGAAAGTACTTCCCATCACTTGTAAAACGCTACGAATTAATTCCAACACCTAATAAAATCGATATTAAATTATATTTAATTCTTTTAATAATATACTACATATAAAAACGAATGTATAAAAGATATATGTCGCATTATTACTTAATATTTTACTTAATATTTTGTTATTACAAAAGTAGTCGAAATATTCTAAGAACACAGTCTGCAATTAATTCGCAATTAATTTCCTTGTGGAATATATGTTTCATTAAAACATTTTAGGCGAAGATTTAAGATTTCATATTAACTTAACAATGTAAATACCTTTCGTTCTCACAATCAACTTCCAAACTGCATTTGAAGCGAGCTGTACAATCACTGTTATTATTTGCAGCCACATGCCTCTCGTGCTGTACGTGCGTGAGGCAAACGTAGAACCCCATGCGTCTCCAAGTTTATTTTATGCTTACTACGCTTGAGCCTGCCTCAACACTACCTTCTCTCGTTGCTCCCATACCTCTCTTTGCCGTACGTATAATGAAACGGTAATTCCTTGTCGCACGTGGCTGATTCCTTTACGAAGATGACGTTAGTAGTACCTCGAGAGTATCGTTTAAACCGCCGAGGAACATGCCCACGATACGTCCAGTACTTGGGTGCAACATTAGATTTTATTTACCACTCATTAAAATATAATTCTATATCATGGATACTCGTATAATTGTATAACCAACTTGCGAAATGTGAATATACAACAAGTGTTAGATGATTCTACATTGGTGTTAAGAAACTTTTAAGACTATTTTTGCATCATATTGACTGGCGTTGTAATGACATTGTTCCACGTTTCAATTTATCGTTTTATGTCTCGCGCGTGGAATGTACGACGATAAAAATGCGTCTATGAAAATGATATCGATCAGTGACATTTGCCGCGGTACAAGGTTAAAAGGCCATCGTGAAAATGCCAGTATCGGTGAAGGAAGCATTAACGAGAAGCCGGCGGATTAATTGCGGACGAGGGAGTGAGAAACGCGGTATCTTGTTCGTGAAATTTCCTTTTATATTTTTCGGCGTTCGGTCGAAGTTAATGGGAGCTTGGGATACAGGGACACCGTTGACGTCATTCAGAGTGCTACGCTCACCACTACAACGTTAATCGGACCGCATCTCGCGATGCACTACGACGACTTTTCTCGAGTTAGTCGATAGCTTCTTCAGCAGCATGAAAACAGGACGGGAAATTAGCTGCGGTTTCTAAATTCTATTCGACGCGTGTCACGGATCATCGAGGATATCGATAGTGTGCGTAGGTTGGGACACTGACGGATTTGTCGAGCATCCGTAACGAAAATGCGCAAGAAGCTTAGCGCAAGAAGGTCGCAATCGGGATCGGAATTCTTTGCACGAAACAGTATTAAAAAGAATATAAACCCCACGCGCGTCAGCTACATAAATTAAAAATTTCTCGCGACCAAATATTTTGTTGTAACGCGAAAACGGATCTACGCTTCTACGATTCCAACGACGCTATTTGTTTCGCTGCTCCGTCGAGTTCATCGCAATTTCACTCGACGCGACATATGTACCGAATCGAATACAAGTATTACATGTATAACGTAACTATGTAATAGGTGCGTTCAGCAGAAAAAGTAACTTTGCAACTGTATAACCTTCGGTTCCTCACTGGATCTATGAAATGAATAAACCAATCATGTTAAAGAATTTTACAACAGTTGCAAAGCTGCTTTCTTTCTCTTCTGAACGCAACTTTTGACCAACCCAATGATTGTCACTTGCGATCGACAGCGATCGACCGAGGTATTGTGTGTTGCATAATGTTTCGACGTAATGAATGTAATGAATGTGCATATACATAAGACACAGTACGGTGGTTGGCGGCGCGATTCAGTTATGTCGGCGACACGACGATTTTGTTTTTCCGCCAAAACGGGACGATCGTAGAAATGGATTTTTGCGTGGTCGCGTTCCAGACTACTGTCTACTTACGTAGGTAGATATAGAGTCAGCAACGCCCACGTTGTCGCCGGGCTGCTGCTGCTGCTGCTGCTGCTGCTGCTGCTGCTGCTGCTACTGCTGCTGTTGCCGGCGAGGGTGGTCGCCGCCACCGCGCGAAAATGTCAGACTAGCCGACTGATACGTTACACCCACGCTCTGGAAAGTGGGGCAAAGTCGATTCATTCATCCACTGATTCATAAGTGTGGGCGTAAGAGCGTAAGGGTTGCGCGGGGCCGCTGGCGCACCCCCATCCTCCTTCGTTTTGTGTACAACGGAGATCCTTCCCCCTATCACGAAACGGGATAAAACGTTAAGATCCCTTCGAGATGTCCCCTTACCCGCATCCACCACCGTCACCAACTACGTCTTCCGCGACTTTCTTAGCGAGCTTTCAAGCTCTTCCCGACTTATGTTCTCGGGAGTGAAAACGTGTCGTGTATCGCAACGAGTTTATTCCCGCGAGAATACCATCGTGTGTTCAGAGAATTATATAAATTGCTGTGAGAGTATACTTAATTATGTGATAAACTAATACAGGATGTCGGCTTTTCTGTACGTGTTATTGCTTAGGTAAGTTTCCGCACACGAAAGCTTTTGCTTTCGAAAACATTTTATGCTTACTGCAACTTGGTAAAACGATATACGATTGCACCAGCATACGCAATTTTGAAATAGTGTATATATAAACACGCGTGTTTAGTATATAATTACAAATAAAGTATAAAAGTACAATCATATAGCAACGGAGATTTCGTAAACATTAACACTTGTACATTAACAGATTGTACATTAAATTGTTAAAAATATTTTTTTATAAATTTTCTTATTTTATAAAACTATAATTTTACAAAATTCTCTTTTATCCTGTTACTGTATTTTAATATGCAT